AGATAACATAGCAAACCTTAAAGAATTTAAGAAATATTTACAATTGGCAGCTGAAAATGGATATGAGGTTGCTTTGCACTTCCTAGGTGTTTGCTATTTTGAAGGAGCCCATGGTTACGAAAAGGATCATGATCAAGCCATAGATTATCTCAAATGTGTAACTTTTCAAAATCACAATGAACAAATTAGTCAGGATGCAACAAACATAATAAACCAAATAAACAAAATTAGAGGGTAGTTTTTTTTTCAAATATCAATATTATTTATTTAATGTATGGATAAATTTTTAAAGTAAAAATATTATTACTGATTAGATAGGATATCTATGCATTTCAAAAAATGTTTTCAGTTTGAAATGACCTTTTTTTGTTGAATGATAATTATTGCTTTCTTTATTTCAATTGAATTTATTTGAATTATGGAAGCTGCAATTTTAGATATTTGCAACAAAAAGTGTTTGCTTGCTTTATTTGTTTTGGCATTCCTCGAGCATATCAATTAAGGCTAATTTGCAAAATTATGCCACTACCTAAAATTCATATGAACATTTATATTATAGATATTTATGCTACTCGTTTGTTTCAAATGCAACTTTATATTGGTTATTGTTCAATGTATATATATAACATGTCGACCTTCATTAAAAAAAAAAGCTCTATATTACCAATGATGGTTCATATCTAGTTTAATTGAAAAATAATAATTCTATCATCACGAACAAGAGCATTAATACTCACTATTATAAAATTTTGGGATGTGAAGTCCTGATTGCTAATTTGAATTTCACATGTGTGAATTGCAGATTCATTTCCATGCACAACAAATATACATAAATAAAGAAAGTCCAACGATTTAGTTGTTGAGTTGAACAGCAACTTATTATTATATAGAATGCTTCTGGATGATATTTAGAACTTTTTTCATCAGACAAATATTTTCCTGATCTAATTATTTCTCGCCTTCTAGGTTCTGCTAATTCAATTTCTTCAGAAGCTTCTTTATAAAAATCACGAGTTTCTTGAGCAGTAGGTCTTATTTCAGGATCATGATCCCAACTAAGGTTTCCGGTCCAAACTGTTTTCTCAAAGCCCAAACTAGTTTGGGCAATTTGGGCTTCTCAGCATTTTTTATAA